TATCAACAATGAATAATGATATAAAGAAAGACTGCTCTTGTCTTGAACTGTCTTGAGCTGGTGGATAACAATAATAACGCATACCTGTAGATCCAGAGTACCATCAAGTTCTTCGGGAAACTGCACTCCAAAATTCCTCTCCAACAGCTCTGCGTTCATCATCTTGGAACTGGTATAATTGTAATTTTGGAGCTTCTCAACCTTTCTAAAGTGAAGATTGCTTGAGACGGAATTTTAACACCAACATTCATCATGAGACCAGTTCGCGATTAATACCACGAACATTAGTTTGCGTTTCTATGTAAGCTTACATTCACAATCGCTTAAATCCAAGAAATTTGAAAACCGTAATGGCGATGATTATTATTTTCAGACAAAACACATTTTCAAACGCGTTGATAGAGGTTTTCTAGAAGGTACAGTTTAGGAAAATTCGGAGTGTCTAGCTTTAGTGAAATTATGGGAGTTTTAGGGTAAAATAGCACATAAATCGCAAAGATATTGGGAAAACGGCATATATCGAAATATAGGGCTTCAACAAAATGGTAAAAAAGGATTGTGCGAGATTACGATGACAGAAGCGGAAAGGAAGGGGCATTTGGAGGAGATGTCAGTTGGCGCACTAGATTAAACGCAGAATACAGAGGCCAGGAATGAAAAAAATCTGTTTCCCACTGGGCTAATCGTAATATTGACGGTTTAGTTCATAATAAAAAATAATTTCCTCGGAAAAGAAAAAAATAGACGTATGATTGTAAGCTCCGTATGTATAAGCGCGTCACCGTCTGCAACTGTCTGGGACTCTCTCACAAAAGTGTACTATTCATCGGCCTCCGAACGCTTTATTGTAAATGGTACAGTCTTAGTAAGACCTCCATAACATGGCTGCTTTTGGTTATCTACGTCAGCCAAACCGATTTCAGAACCTTTATTAGGCCCTATCTGGGCCGTGCCCAAGTTGCTCCATGTAATACACTAGTGTTCATGGGGCCAAAGGCCCATGATAGAGGAAAATCTCAAAACCCATTATCATGGACTGTGCTTTTGAACATGCCAGTTCGTTGACGGAAAGCTCGTCCAACACCTCATCCCTCTATGTCTTCTGACTAACATGGGAGGATGACACTGAGATTTTTTTTTATAATTTTGTTTCACGATTGAATCTTGAGCTTTATCAGCGGCTAAAAGGGTTCGGTAGTAGTGGCACATAAGAAATAGTGTTTAACGTTTACTGGCGTCAAAAACAGAGACCTACTCGTTCAATTGGGGTTCAATTCCTTTTACCTAAATGTGCTTGAAATGTCAACAAATCGCTTTTAATAACTGCAATAAACGGAAATCGCAGAAAGCTGAATATGTCGATTGCAGCGTTATTTCTGCACCCCTGCAGACTATGGCCGTTTCGCGCGCGGCACATACTGCCCTGCAAAACGGCCGCGCGGCGACTAGAACGCGGTAAACGCGAAGTGTCTATTAGCGCGCACAGTCGAACCAAAGCTTCCCATTTAGCCTTGAATAATTCCGGGTGTTTCAGGTTTTCCCATTTAGGAAAAATGTTTCTGTCTACACATTGCATTTATACTTAACCTTTTTTCTTAGGTCTCGGCTACAATCTATTTTATTCTTTCTTTTCTTGAGATTCATCTTTTTTGGTGCAATCTTGAGCCATTCATTCAATTGCTTAGGCTCTCAAAAGTATTTTCAGTGCCAATTTTCGTAAGTTCAGATTTATCCTATGTAGTTGAGTTCCACAATTGCTGTGATAAGGATGGCGTCTTTGCGGTCGGCCAAAACTAACATTTCGAGCGTTCTTTCTTTGCGTCTAAAGCGATTAGGCAAATGTGTTCATTCCTAGATAGCTGGCTGTGAGTACGTGGACTTTCAGTTCCCGACTGAGTTTGCATTCTATTTTTATGTCGCTAGCTCTGAGCACCCAGTTTAACCGATACCTGCTATACTCGAAATGCAAGCACTCGAGCGCTGAAAGCGTTTGCTACTCCGTTTACACAACTGTGTTGGACTGCAGCTTCATCTTCTTCAGAATCAAGCATTTCGTTGAGGTTAATTTCAAAAATAGCCCACTACTACTTTTGGATTCGTTCATGTGAGTTTGGGTAGGGCAGCGCGTAACTTAGGTACACAGGTAACACAGGTGCTAACATATGGTTGTTGTTTGTGTTGTGTGTGCTTGTTTGTTTTGATGTTTCTTTCACATGTTGCTTACGGGCATGTAATAAACAAACTAAAAGTTCCGAAATCGGAGGTTCGAAATAAGTGGAAAGAAACATCTAAAGGAAAGATTCGTCCTACGGGACGAATAGAAGAATTCGAGATAAGGATAAGATACTTAGGATAATTCGTACTTCATGCCCATGTTTTCAGGGGAAATCCGTTGTTTTCCAGTTCCTTCATCGATACGCAACTGATCCTTTTCGTGGATTCTCCAGTCATCCAAGTTATCGCCCTTGCCTCCGATTTTTATGGTAACGGAACCATAGCTTCCTAGCAATCTGTCACTATCCTGGTAGCCCTAGCGATTGACTGTTGAGACCAGAGCCACTTTTATCGAATTCGGCGAGGCTATTAGGAGTTCTGCGAATGTTATTAAATGCATTTCTCATTTCGCTGGCAACTTCATTGCTTTCTTCCTTGTTTTTACTATCAAAATCTCCTTTTTCAGTGTTTACTCAGTTAGGAAAGATGTGTCTGCTGCTGCATTTTCAGAAATGATCTTCTCTATCTAACCTTGGAGTAGTGTTAGTCGGCGAAACCCTATGCCGATGCCGATAGTCATTGGGGTTTACTCGCCTCAATTACCTATAGACATGCTCATTCCTTCTTGTTTGTAGACATTTAGTTCAGCTCGGTTTGAGCCTACACTGCTTATTCTTAAATCTGCTAACCCATCCATCAATCTAGCTTTCCATGCTCCATAGTGGAAAATGTGCTCCATGGCGAACCTGCGCAGCGGCTTCGTCGCGCCGCTCAACCGTTAACATGCGCGAAAGCGGAGCCCATTTTGCGGTTCGGCCGTTGCGGGCGTTGTGGTCTTTGGTTAGGTACTCCTGGTGGTCTGAAATTGCTCAACGACATCTCGTTTCCAGTGCTTGGTACGAATTCGTCCGCATCTAGGTGCTTCGTCATGAGTTCTAGTTTTCGAAGCAACTTTGTTAGTTGGAGAACTAGCAATTCCTTGAGGTCAGCTTCTGCCATGTTTAATGATTGTGTCGTTCTTTTTGCTCTCATATTCATGAATGCTGATATTTGTTATGCGTCAAAGATTCCACATTACGAAAAGTTTCTGATAAAGACTTCTTTAAAGAAATGTTTTTGGTTCTGTTTCAGCAATCCCTATACGCACACCTACGGAAACGGTTACGAAGCAGGGGGTTATAACCCAGAGTATCCATCAGTTCACAATAACATAGGAGGGTCGAGTCTTTACCAGCAACAGGTTTGATTTTTGTATTACTCTAAATCAATGAAATTCCAGTATGATCTATAAACATCAATGAGCTCGTAATTTCTTGAGTTTATTACTGTTGTCATCGTTATTAGTTATTTTAGTTATTTATTCATTGTTATTAGTTGTAGTAGCATTTGTGGTGTCAGCATAGTTTTGTTCTTTCAGTACCTTCCTTCACAAGCAGAGTATAATCCAGTGTATCCAAGCTATACCAAGCCAATTTATTCGCGAGAACCGACACAATCCTATCCGGTTAGTTCTTTTCCGATAAACAGCATGTCGAGAATGAACGAGAGGTTTTAATGTTTTTGATGGTGCTAACTCATTAACGCCAGGGTTCAGTTGTAAACCTGCAATGTCGCATGTAGAGAGTACAAACTAAGTGGATTAAAAAGATCTAAGAAACTTCCGCTCTTGAAAAGGTGGAGACTTTGTGGTAATCAAAGAAATGTGAGAGAGAGGTGCATTTTTCGAGTTTTTAATGAGTTTGTCATCCATAGCTTGTGCGAAGTCTTTCTCTTCCACTTTTCGAGTGTCATCTACTTCTTTCGTGACTTTTCATCTTCCTGTCTGAGTTTTTCTTCTTCATTGAGTTAATCCTTCGCTTTCGCAGTTCTGCTGCCGGTCGTTGTCATTTCTTCCTATTCAAGCATTTCACCGTGATCTCAGCGAAGTCCTTCTTAATCACGTTTCGCCACCTCATTTTAAGAGCTCTTCATCATCACATTTCTTGAGCTTCGAAATCCATTGTTTTCCTTCTTAATTTCTGCTTCCGCAATCCTCCTTGTACGTGCCCATGACATAGCAGCCGCTGTTTCCATCTTCAATTAAAGAACGAATTTTGCAAGACTGTACTGGCATCTTCATCACTCACCCCTGTAGTTGCATCTAACTTTATTGCAGGTCTATCTCATCATCCTCATTTATGGGCGAAATAGTTAACGCTCCATATTTTTGCCTAAGTGCCATAACTCGCTGTCATATAGACATCGCTAACTTCATCACTTCTCTGCATACATTTCCTTTCAGCTTCCTATAGTACCGTTTATCGCAGAGTACATCTCTGGACTCTTCCATTCATCCATGCCATGGTTATTCGTTAGCTTTTAACGGTAGAGCCGAAAACATAGTTTCCTCGTGTGGCTCAACACCGTTGTCCGTCAGCATGCTCTGCCATTACTGCTGCTTTTTCTTAAGTTTTACTCCGCTCTTCTGTTCTTGATAAGAACAGAGCGAATTACCAATGTAAGTGGTGGTCTTCAGTGGTCCATCCATCCATCCATCCTTTTTTGATGACATCCATTGTGATTAAAAAGAGGAACTTTTTGTTCAATGGATAACTAGTGAGTACGTTTGAGAAAAGATATCTGATAACGAGCAGACAGTGAGATCCGTTGTGGGCAGGAAGAGAAACGGGCCAAACATCTCTCTTCAGCGGTCCATCCAAACTGCAACTGCACTTATCAGTTATCTTTGTTGCAAATTACGGATATTCTAGCGCAACCATTGTTGTGCTTCCACAGTTCTTGCGCCCAGCTAGTCGTGATTACGCTTTCCTAGATGCTATTTCCTTCTCACAACTAATAATTCGTCACCCATGTCCTTCAAGAACTTTTTTCATTTGATTTTAGCAGTCATTCCGTAGTATTTCTAGAAATGTCTTCAGAGTAGTGTTCACCTGTGTGCAAAAAATAGAAGGTTTTATAACATTTTCGTCCGTGGTTTTGAGTGTGGCTTGCCGGTCACCTGCATTGTTGAATTGTATACTTTTGAGCACATTGTTCTCCATGTTTTACGAGAGCAAATTTTAAAAGCGTCCAACTTGCGCCTTGTGCACTTGTCTGTTTTGTGGGTATTTCTTCAAGTGCACTTTTCAATCTTTTCTCTTTCCAGACTCGTCGAGTTGCTTGCCAATTGAATCGCCCAGCTCACAATCGTACTATTCGAAGCACTCCACGTGCTAAAAAGGTGTGCATTTCATTATTCAGTTCGGTTATTTTTTTAGACCCAGATCTTCTCAGATCACAGCAAAGTTCTTATTCGCTTGAACAATTTATTTAAATTCTCAAAAGTTTCCTTTTCAGATCAAAATTGTGAAAATTTCGAAGAGTACAGCGAAAGCAAAACCGTCCGGTAGTGTGCAGAGGAGTACTGCTGAGTCGTCGTCTTCAAGTTCACGGCTGTGCAAAGCAGAAGAGACACCACACAGTAGTGGTGAGCTTACCCTCCAGTGATTCGGTAGTACACTTTCATAGTGCTTCGGTGAACTACTGGATCGTCCCAGTTTTCAGACGATCAGAAGCCAGGAGGTATTCGTGCAGCATCACCTATCCAGCCTGATATATCTGTGCTAAAAATCATATCGCCTAAGAGAAACAGCAAACAGCCGCGTAAAATTCAAGCCTTGAATAGTGAAGCGGGTCCAAGGCGAGGAACACCTGGATCAAGCTCTGGTCAGATTTTGCCTATAATGTGTGTGAGAATGTTAAAAAGACGTATATCTCACTCGTCTACGAGACGCATAGTTGAAAGCCGCACTGGAAAGTCTTGACATTCATTCATGCTTATAAAATCTGAACCAAATATTGGCCGTATTATCGACGAAAAGAGTTTGTTACTGTGCTTATACTATCCACCAGCATTAGCGCGGATCCTTACCAGCTTTCTGAAACCAATTGCTCTACTGAACAGCAGTCGAAGTTTCTTAGCATAGTCGATTATTTTGTAGTAAACATCGGCTTTATGGGCGAAGTTCGTGTCACGGCAAGTGGCGCATTACCACATGCGCATGGTCCGAGGATCGAATCCCGAATCGATGTTTGGCTGGGCAAGCCGAGCCTTGCTTCCCTATGTGGTCGTTGAATTGGTAACAGAGTTCTCTCTGAGGATAAACGACCTGACTCGTGCACCAGCTGGTCACCACAAGTCATTGTTCGGCCAAGTGCGCATTTATGACGCCACTACGATTTTGAACGGGAGCTGAATGAGAGTGTGTCCGAGAACGGGGTTGATTGACGCCAGAAAGATCACAACTTGTCTTCTAAATACTTGTTCCTCAACATTTAAAATTCCTCTTCATTAGGAATGAGGAAAGTTTGGGAGTATCTTTACTCTTGTAGGCATGATCCAAAAGTGACGGCTTGAACTTCCTACGACTGACTAGTATGCTCTATCCTTTGAGATACGAAGTTCTTTATTTCACAGGTGTGAGGAAAAACATGAGCTACGTGCCGTTCGGAGCTGGAATGCCTCGAGGCGGATTCGGAATGATGCGAGGAGGCCGTGGTGGACGTGGTGGTCGTAGATACATCTCTAAGCCCAACAATAACCCTATGGACATTCCTGTGAGCCACCTTCTGAGGCTCATCTCGTGTTCTTACCCAAGCAGTTTTCTTGTTTTTGAATTTTTGTTCGTTCTTCCAGTTTGTTCCACTTCCGGAAGATGCACCGGCGATCTCTCTAACTATTGATCCGGACAACTTCATCTGTTTCCACGGGTTTTCCAGCGTTTTCACAACCCAACACACTGTTAGTTCCTTTAGATATGATTTCTTAAAAGTGATGTATCTAGTTGACGATCTAGTTTAGTCTATTTTCCGATATTGTTCCTTATAGTTCCCTGTGCTAATTGATGGTAAAATCTACGAAAGTGGCGATCATTACTACCAAATTCAAAAAGTTCACGATCTATGTGGGACCGTCAGTGAAAAGTTAACTGAAACGGGTGTGTTTGATAATTTTGCATCAGTTCATAGAAGCTGAATGTGACACTTTTTGAAATTCGTTTGTTCGTTACGGCTGGAACTCTTTTTTTGCCGGTAATTCTTGTCTCTAATTGTTATGCATGAAGATAATGCCGTACGTTTTCAGTAAGAGACGAAAACGGACGTCGCCTCGATGGGAAAGTCGGTTTCAGTGAGCACAGAGATAAGAGCTTCAGCCAGGTTGCTAAAGAAGTGATCCGACTCAATAATGTTAGTTCTCGCTTTTCCTTAGGAACTAAATGTGGTGGAAAAGAACGAGCGATATTACTCGTCTTGGTGAAGGGTTGCTGAAAATTTTTCAGAAAATTTTTTTCAGGTGGATAGGAAAAAAGTCGACGAGTGGCGGTATACAAAAGGGCTGGATGCTATGCAAAAGGCTCTTATGGCAAAGGTAAGTAAACGATTTGGCTTTAATTCAGATTAACCCGTCAATGTTGATAGGAATTAAGTGGTTAGTGCTGCTTTGTAATAGAATTTTTGGAGGTCTCTCAATCGGTGGTACTCCGTCAAGCGCTGTCGGAAAGTGGAAAGAAAATTTTGGTGCACGCTTTCCCTGGGGACAGCATCTACGGTGCAGGGTAAGATGAGAACGAATCTATTTTGCCTTTTTATAATTTAACAAGTATTTTTTAGATGCAGGCAAGCTCAAGTAAAGAAATGGTGCGAGAGTATGAAAGCAAATGGAGCAACCACCATTCGAGCAAGTTGATACATCTATCATTTTAGGGCCAGCCGCAGCCACATGTTTTTTTTTAGCGAAGCGTTTTAATTCGTCGCAGTGTAGAAGCGATTTCACCTACTTTCTAACTGCTAGCTGGAGAGTTCAAAAGCGCGCTCTATTTTTCGCTTGTTCTTACAAACCCAACTCAGTCTGGCTACTTTTGGTTTTACTATTAAAGTCTAGTTTGAATATTTCTTTTTTATAAACCCAACGCTGCACTGTGACAGGTGCAGTTGTTTCTGGTTGCTAGTGATAAAGTCATAGTTACAGATACCAGCTACATTCCCTCTGACGGCTGAGACGGTTTTCAATTGCCCAAATTTTGCCCAAGGTCGCAACGTTCTGGGAGTTATTCTTATGCAGTTAAGGTTCGGATTTTACTACGTTAGTTATCCACAGCTTCAGATCTAGCACAAATTCCATAAAGTGAAGCTTATCCGGTTTCCAAAGTTATATTTCAATATTGCTTACTGGTTTAGGGAAATGTTGCGTGAGAATAAAGTGCCGATCGTTGACTTGAGCTCTGTCTTCGATTCCCTACGCATCGGAACTAATAATGTTTGCGACGCAAGCATGGACGATCAGGTCTGTTAAAGTTTATGCTGCAATTGACAATGCGTTTAGATTGTTTTATAAAACTATGCTAATACTGTGGTTATATTTTATGAAATTTTGAATTCGACCTATGCCATAGCCGACGACAATCGCTTTTTATTTCTAGTTTTCTACCGAAATGTAGAATAGTTTGTTTTGATGTACTCTGTTTTCGTTCGAGTTAGCTGAGACTTGTGGAGCCAAAGGCGGTCTTTTGAACAGTACAAGGAATGCTCCTCAATTGGAGTGGGTTTGTCTCCTCACTCATATTTGTATTTGTGAGGTGAAGGTGACCCGTTCAGATTTCACAATCCCGTAAAACAAAAATCCCAAAGCTCTTCTTAAAATCCATGTTCTGCACGGAGTAAAGGTCATTAGCGTACAGAATCTCGTACGGCCTTTCTTGTCAACATTTTATTTTCATCTTCTTTATTCGCGCCGATCATCTTTGATCCTTATTTGGTCTTTTGGTGCTGTTGTTTATCATGTAAAAGTATCCCGTTCAATTTCAGGATTGCGGGGACGGTTTCGCTATCGGCGGTGGCAGTATTCAAGCGAAGATTGGTGGTGGTACTAAAGCGTGAAACTCTAAATTAAGATTTACTTTATGCTTGCATGCTCCTTATTCTGAGTCTTGCTTCTATTGTTTTATGCAAATAATAATGATTTTTTTCTTTTATCTTGAATTTGTTGTTGTTCTTGTGTTCCTATCGGTCAACCGGTTCTCTATTCCCAATTCTTGAATTTGTTGTTAGTTTGTTATGTATAAATTCTAACAGAAGAATGTAAATTCGTTCAGAGAATCATTGTTGGTGTTATGTTGGAAAGCTGTGATTAGGTGAAATGTCGTGGTTTACTGCATATATTGTGGGAGTGCCTGATGCCGTTCGTGGGATGGGGAAACCATTCTACGGAAATGACTTCAAAGGGGTGCGAACATTGAAATGTCATTTTTTCGTGATGATATTCCATAGCGATGACGGCAGTGCAGATAATTGCCATAGTCAAGTTGAGTGTTAACGGCCCTCGGCGATCACACAACGTTCCTCTCCACATAAGTGACGTTGACGAAAGTTGTAGAAGCGCAATTTCTAAATCTCATCTGGGGCGGTCTTTCATTTCCCCTTTTTAGTTGCCAGGACTAGTGGCGAATTCGATATTATTCAGGTCCAGTCCCATGCCGATTCCGCTTTTGTTCCCACAAAAGTTGTCGAATATCAGGGTTGTAATGAGATTCTAGGAGCAGGAACGGAACTTGAAATACCCAAATATGGAAGAAACACAGGAACAGAAATAGTTCTATATACCATTAAATGACAGCTGCTGTCAACGGAAGTTTTCTGACGCTTGCGTTGAAGCTAGGTAGACCCAAACAGTGAATTGCTCTCTATTTGCATATGAATGCTAGGCAGCGAATTTGACCGAATTCGAAAAAGGTTATAGAAGAGCTCCTTCTGGAATTGGAATCGTTAATTTTTCGGTGTTCTGAGTGATAACAACTATGCCTTGCCAGAACTAGTTGAAGAGTTTAAGAGTACAATTCTTGATGAAAAGATGGTTTCTGAGATATTTCCTTGGGATGAACCTGTGACTCCATGAATTGCACAAAGGGTTGTCGGGCCACGAAACGACGTCGACAGGAAGCGACCTCATGAGGGCTCTAATTTCAGCTTGGCCAGCGTACACCCCTAAAAGTGGCTGTCTTATGACGGCTTTGTTATGAATGCACCATTCACGATTAAGCTTCAGGACAACGAGGAATTGCACGCCAACTCGTACAATCACTTTTCAGAGCTCTTATGACTTACATTTTTTAAAATTTGCTAGTTTTGAGCTTTCTTGATCAGTTCTACACTTAACCCTCCCTTAACCCTTATCCCTCCACTATTTCACTTGAGTTAGAAACTTCACGAGTCATGGTGACTAAGCCTTAAAAGAACCAGAGCGAAATTGCTTCCGTGCTCAAAGAGTCCAGTCCCAATTTTAAAGGAGCTCAGGGTGTCAAATATAGAGCTCATGTTACATCTGAAACTCCAAAAAAATACATGTTCTACCGGTCTAATAGATATATTGGTGCCAATTCAAATTATTCTTTTTCTGTTGATGATGAAGAATCAGCACTGCATAAAGCTTCCATTAAGTGGTTAGGGACAGCACGTAACGACCAAGACATTAGCCATTTCCATACTTCAATACTAGTTCTGTATGAGAAGTCAACAACCCAAGCGAACTGTTTCAGGAGCCTTTATGATCGCGAGCTGCACCGCCTGATCGGATGGGTTGGATCAACGGTTCATGGTCGTAATGAAAAACCTGGCAAAACTATTGAAGGAATTCTGGCACAAATGTTATCCCATAGAGTAAGCAACCAACTGAGAATGATAAAACCTAGCGTTGCCCATTTGATAGTAAAAGTATTGACCTCTGATGAAGATAATTGTTGAGGTGGTTAGACTCTTGCTAGCTCACAAATACATTCGTTTTTTTTATTCTCGTGCGCTTTAGCACTGTACATATTCAGCCAAAGTTAAATGTTCAGTGGTCCATGGATTGCCTGATGATCCTAAATGTCTCACAAGGTTGGCGATTTGTGGGCAAAACTCCAGTCTCGGACGGGACTCGAACCCGTACTTGTCCTTTCCGGGGACCGTGCTCTTATCCCTTACACTACCGAGACCCCGCTT